CTTATAAATTATTATTTTGCTCTGTCTTACACTGCAGGACTGTCACTCTTTCCCCCAAAGAGTGGCTACTGATTTTGAAATGAAGCCCTGGTGACGCAGTGGGGTAAATGCTGGGCTGCTAACTGCCAAGGTCAGCGGTTTGAAACTACCGGCCTCTCCACAGGAAGAAGAGTCACACACACAGAGGCCCACAGGGGCAGTTCTACCTTCTCCTATTGGGTGATGAGGTAGCTGCACAATTTCACGTCAACTTGATGAAACAATGAAGGGGTGGAGGCTAGCCTGCCAATCGGATCACAGCCTGATGACCCCTCCCCTGTGGGCGTGGCCTTCCATGACTATTCTGGGAACTTCTCTTCCCCCCTGGAGGCAGGGCACCCTCTTCTCTGCTTCACATTCCTGTTGACAAGCCACATACATGGTCACGCAGATGGCAGCCAGAGCCCTGGAGGTGCGTCCACCGCCATTGGATCCACAGGACTTTCCACCCACCAGCCTGTGATCTGCTTGCATTCGACAGCATTGCACATGCTGTGTGAGTCTGGAGAAGTCACGGGCTAACATCAGACTTATGATGGACTTGATCTGGACTGGGCTGGGGGTTTTATACTGATGCATAATAACTGCTTGAAAGAACTTTCTTTTCTTTTTTTGAAAGAACTTTCTATCAAGGTTTAAATTATGTATTATTCACATGGGAGTCTCTGGATTTGTTTCTCTAATCAATCTGGACTAACACAGTGACTATGAGTCAGAATTGACTCAATGGCAGTGAGAACATTAAAAATAAGATAAATAATAATAGTAATAAAATAAGATTAAAGGTGTGGGGAACGTGAAACCCTTATCCACAGCTGGTGGAAATGCCAAGGATACAGCAGTTTGAGAACAATTCCACTGCTAGGTAGCGATCCCAAATCCTTGAAAGTGGAGACTCCGTCACTGACAGCATTACATGTTCGCTGCAGCAGCGATGGCAATGGGAAACCTACCCAATGAACGGATCAACAAAAGCAGGGTCCACGCTGCACTGGGCTGTGGCTCAGCCGGCAGGAGAAAGGATGTCCACACACGCTGCTACCAGGTGGTTGGGTGTGTGAAGATAGAACACTGAGCAAAAGAAGTCAGTCACAAGAGGACACAAATATTGCATGACCTCATTTACACACAAAGAGAAGAAAGGCCACTGCATGGGAGTCCAGGTTTACCCGTGGCACCCGTACAGAGTGGGCAGCACAGCAGGGCTGCAGTCGACAAGCTGTGCATCGGTAAACGTCGAATGGACAACAGTTGTGCGAGACATTTTCCACATCTAATGTGCATGTCCCCAAAATGTGTGTCCAGTTTGCTGGGCCATGATCTGGCATTTGTGTAATAATGCAATCATTGCCTCACGAGACCTGCCAATCCTCCAATCCTCGTAAGAGGGTGACAGTGTGATGCAAGTTGGAGATAAGGGGAGCTCCCTGGGGTGTGGCCTGCATCACCTTTTACCTGGTAAGAAGTTAAATTGCGAGCAGAAGCAAGCAGGAAGGACTGCATTACCACCAAGAAAGAGAGTCCAAAACAGAGGGCCTCCTCTGGATCCCTGTGCCGAGAACCTCCTAAACCCAAGACACAGGGGGCGCTCCGAGGGACACGGAGACCACAGGTAAAAGAAGACAAAGGCCTTCCCCCCAGAGCCAACACAGAATCCTTCTCCCAGAGCAGGCCCCTTCCGACTATGAGAGAATGAAAATGTTAATGTGCTGCTTGTCACATGATTGAGACAGATACATTGACACCCAAACACCAAGCAGCTCTGAGGCTACTTTTGCCCACCAACCACCTCTGTGGGGCCTGATGCCTTGGTTGGAAGTTTAGGGTCACAGCTTCATGGAAACTCCCAGTAAATTGGCTAATGACATATTTAACGTTTCTGTTTTGCCTTCTAGGGTACTGCATTGTGCACGGGTGGTGCTGTTCAGTGTCAGACTGCTAACTGCAAGGTCAATGGTTCAAAACCACCAGACACTCCAAGGGAGAAGGTTGAGGTTATCGGTCCAAAGATGATTTACAGTCTCAGAAACCCCATGTAGGTTACCAGGAGTTAGAATTGGTTCAATGGAAATGCGTTTGGGTTTTGGGTTTGGGGTCTTCAAAGCTTGCACACAGCTTACCCAAGGCGCCATTCGTCCTACGCGCCTGCAACAACAGAGTGAGAAACAGGAGCAGATGGGATGTGTGGCCAACTGCCTCCAACAACAGTGGCCTCCTTTGCCATGGGGCCAGAAGAAGGGGGACTGTGCCCAGCTATTGTCACTGGCCTTTGGAGCTCAGATTTTATGAGTCCTAGGCAAAAGGGTGTGTGTG